TGTTTTGTAACCGGCAACGTATGTCCGACTTCACATAGAGAAGCACCCCACCATGAAGACGCTGCTGACGATCGCAACGAAAATGCTCATGGCCAGGGAGTTTTATCTCTTGATCGAGGACAGTCAAATCCAACCAGGTTTCTGCAACATCAAAAGTATCAGGATTTACATCAGAAACCCACTGCCGCAGATCATCTCGTTTCGGTAAAAGGCTGCGTACGTTCGTAAAAGCTACACGTAAGCTAGCGAATGCTTCTGGCTGCGCGCTGTTAAGGTGACTGGGCGGTTTATAATGCACGCCATTTGACTATTCGAAAATTTACGATACGTAGATCATTTTCACCTTCAAGAGTGCGCCTTCGAAGTTCCACGACAGCGGCTTTGAGCTGAGCTCGCTGAGATGGATCCATATCTGGTCTGATGTAAATATCCATACCTTTAAGTCTCCATGCGCGAGAAAGTAAGTGCTTGGGAGCGTCTGCATTTTCGAATACAATTTTTAGCGGTCGGTGGATGCCCGCAACTCGTTTTCCTAATCGTAAAATTCGTCGAACTCGAATCTGATGTAAATATCCATACCTTTAAGTCTCCATGCGCGAGAAAGCGCTTGGGAGCGTCTGCATTTTCGAATACAATTTTTAGCGGTCGGTGGATGCCCGCAACTCGTTTTCCTAATGGTAAAATTCGTCGAACTCGAATTCCTGATTCATCAGCATCGGCTAGTTTATCAACAAGTTCCTGGAGCAGATTCAAATCATGGCTGTATCTAGCCTGTGCGCCTTCTGCGCCAGATTATTTCGATCCAAACAGCATCAAACAATGATCGCATGGAAACTCGAGTGTTTCTCGGTTTCCTGGAACAGTTGGCTGGATCGCGCTGACAGGCTCGGAGCTGACAGGTAGACTTTCAACGACCTCATGGCTGCGAGCTGGCGGCCGGGTTTTCATACGATGTCTCCGTTTCGTTGATAACCAAGGTGGTTGCGTATTCTGTTCATCAGTACAATCGGATGACCTCAAGGGGGCATTAAGATTGACTGAAGGTTCCGCAGAGCTGACATCTGGAACGTTCCGAACAAGACTCTTGCTGGTCGCTAGAAGGCGCTGGTGCAGATCGCTTCGATTTCTTCGATTTCTGTTTCTTCCTTAAAGGTGATGTGGAGATAGATTTGCATCTAGTACACGTAAATGATAAGTTATCACTGGGATGAGCCAAGAGAGCAGCATAGATAGACGAGTGAGTGTGGGAACACTCTATGTGCTCCAAGGTTGCACAAACATCACATTTCAAAGCTTTGTCGGAATCCTAAACGGGTAGATCACAATTTGAGCACAAGGATGACACATCACACATGGTATCCATAGTATTTGACGACATTTATATGACATGCACGCCGTGTGTTGTCTATCAGAGTTTGTGGCAGAAGCAGTCTCAGATTTGATATATACTCGTCCAACTGTGGATCCTTACGATGGTTCAAAATGTGCTATTTTTTGCAAGAACTACAGCAGATACAGCTGCTAAATCACTACGATAACCAGAAAATGTAAGAAAACAAAAGCCCTGCAGGGCGACGTGCAACCAGACACACGGCCGAAATCCGTGTAGTATGCTGCGTAGTATTCTGTTAGCATTCTCTCCAATTCTACCACAAGATCACGGCTCGCTATCCATGGTTGACGCCAAGAAAGCTATACCAGCAGGCAGCAAGTTCGACGGCGCATGCAACTCCCTCAAACAGCAAATAGTGAAGAGTCTAAGGAAAGACCAGAGCTCGAGCTCTGGTGGATATCGAAACCTTGGAAGATAGAGAAAGCTTTTGCTACGGGAAACAGCCTTGCCCTATATCAGTTGATACGATCGACTGGCCTTAGGAAAGCAACGGTCAGCAAAACGATAAGTGGAAAAGGTGGCTCATTAATTCACTCGCAAAAACGTCGACTGGAAAGATGGGCCGAACACTTCGAAGAACAGTTCATCTGGCCTCCTGCAACACAGTCTGTGGAAATAATGCACACGGGCGAATGGAATGTAAACCTTGATCGCCCTTCGGAAGAAGAGGTATGGTACAAAATATCCGTGCTAAAACGTGAGAAGGCACCAGGACCGGACGGTCTGTATCCAGCCCTCTTCAAAGAAGGCGGAAAATTCCTAGTGTCCCATCTGACAAAACTTATTGGTACCATACGGGACGGAGAGATTGTGTCTGCAGAATGGGGCATGTCCACGATTATCCCTATCTTCAAAAGGAGTACGCGGACGCTATGTGAAAACCACCGTGGCATCAGCCTGTTAGCTGTGGCCTCGAAGGTGCTCTCTGACCTCATCCCTCGAAAGTTGACTGAACACACGGAGAGGCAGATCCGTGAAATCCAAACTGGGTTCCGTCCTGCAAGAGGTTGCATCGATCATATCTTCACCCTCCGACTAATTCCAGAACAGTGACACTGCTTCCGGCAGTGTCTGAAAGCTTCCTTTGATTCCGTGGACCGTCAGGCACTATGGTAGTGTATGTCGAGCACAGGTGTCCCCCACAAATTCTTGACCCTCCTTAGGGCGCTGTGCGCCAACTTTCGCGGCCGTGCGAAGGTCTACGAAAAACTCGTCTGAGTTCACCACATCAAGTGGTCCGACAGGGCTGTCCTGTTTCCCCTTTCCTCTTCAACTTCGCCAATGACGTGATCATGGAAAACTCACTACCAGCCTCTAATGCCCGTAGGGTCAAAGTTCTCCCCGGGCGTCCGCTGACAGATATCGAGTACGCAGACGACATAGCTCTTATGGGATCTAACCCCGTGGCAATGCATACAATATTAAATAATATGAATAATTCTGCCTTACGGTTCGGCATGCGCTTCGCACCTGCAAAGTGTAAAGTGCTACTGCAAGATTGGGTGGACTCGAACCCTAGCCTCACGCTTGCGGATGAACCGATTGAGGTAGTAGACAAATTTGTTTACCTGGGCAGCTGTATCAGTCCCGGTGGTCTGGCGAAAGATGATATTTTCATCTTTTCATTGTGAAGGCCAGCGCAGCTTTTGTGAACCTGCGTCACCTGTGGCTTAGGCTTGACATCAGCTTCTCTGTCAAGGCTCGAGTTTGCAACGCTGCGGTTCGCCCATATTACTATACGGATCAGAAACCTGGCCGCTGCGCGCCGAGGACTTTCAATGTTTGACCATCGACGTCTTCCCATCATAGTCCGAATCTGGTGGGAACACCGGATCAGCAATTCTGAAGTACGTCGAATGGTATTCGAGAGAACTAACTCACCCTCGATAGACGAACTGATCACACTGCATAGGTTGCGCTGGCTTGGCCACGTGCCGCGTATGCCAGTCGACGGACTTCCCCGAAGAGCTCTTTTTGCACAACCAGGGTGGAAGAGAGGCAAAGGCGGTCAAACAATGACTTGGCAGCGAAGTATGAAAGCCATTACCAGCAAACTCAGATGCGCTGGTCATTACCGTCTTCCTGGATGGGGACCCCAAAACGGGCCATATCAATGGTTAGAGATATTGTCAGACGTGACCCAGTCGCGCCCTCATTAGCGCTCGTGCATCCAAGCTATTGCCTTCAATGCACAGTTCCCTTCCCAACCCCCCACTTGGCAGTCCACTGACAGTGCCGTATTTACGCACCAATTTATCGGCTCCCGCCCCGAACGCGCAGCTATCTAACCCCACCTCCCCAAATCATCGATGAACGAAACTGTGGCAGCCACGACCACTGTACGACAAGTACGTGGTTATTACAGCTGACATTGGTGACAATGAGAGAAAATACGCTTCCAAAAGAATTTCACCCGAAGCTCGGTCATCTTGACAAGCTCACAACTTTTGCAGCCTCGAAGGAAGTTAGGTTTGCATTTTAAGCCACCTCAACTGTTGACAACCACATATCGCTCATTTGTCGAGCCCTAGGTATCACTGGGAGACTGGTACTCACATACTACCGACATCGCACGTGCGAATGCTGTGGAAACTTAGTGCCCATGAACGAATAGGGCGAGGATTGCCTGGTATGATCTCGACGTAGAGGTGTTTCAGATCGCCAGTAAGCTTTTGTGTGGGCCTGCATTTTTGTACCTACAGATTGAGTCCGGTGAGAGAGAATCTGTGACTGTAGTCTCCTTAGTATCAGAGAAACTGACTGGAATCCCACGAACTCCATCTGACCCAGTCGTGTATCGCCTCCAAGACGCTGGAGGCGATGACAGTAGATTTTTCAGGTGACTTATGCAGTTTGGTTAGTCTCGAAAGAGCATCAGCTTGTCCGAAGCTGGATGTATCCGATACTGGATACGGAAACCCTAGCCAAGCAGCGTATGTACCCAGAGGTGTAATCGCCTGGCACCGTATACTGAAATTCCATTTTTGTAGCCAACTAGTGCTAACAGAGTTTGGTATGTGGTTAAAAGTGAAATTGGCGTCCGCAAGCCATCATCATCATAGTCTCTGATTTGTAGGAGAGTAGGAGTCAGTCTTTTATATAGTTCACGAGCCTTGGCAATAAGTAAACCACTGAAAAAATCGTCCAGCCGTAACACCATTCCGGTGCCCAGCTGCCATGCTACCCGAAGGAAGCACGAGGGCTGGGATACTGCCAGGTCGCCCAAGTCTAGACAGGGAAATCGAGAAACGAAGGTCGGGTTCGAACCACAGACCTTCCGGTCAGTAAATTCGCTCTCTAGCCACTTGAGCCACGTCGTTGAAACCAAGAGCTGGATGTTACCTTGGCTAAAGTGAAAAAATAAACTTCATGATGCTGTTACGGGTCGGATCAACAAAGATGTGTTGGAAGTGTTATAAATATGTGGTGTCGCTATAGAGAGCCCATCAGTCAAACACTGCTGTTCATGAACTAGTCTCAAGTCTTTCATTGACATGAATAGTGTGTGGGAGAAATCCCCGGTACCACTGTAACAATTTCCAAATGCACAGCTCAGTCATTGAATCGCAACAGGCCACGTGGTGTGACAGCCTGTATGATTGATTTTGCCCCACAGTTGCTCAGTAGCCTATCAGAGTCCGCTGTGTCCAAAGCCAGCACATAAATGAGAATAAATTTTACTCTTTCCATTACCTCTTGAATGCAAACTGAACATGCCACCAAACCGTACATCAGGTGGACTGAGGTATATGACTCTCGGTAGGGACGTCTCACTGATTACGAGCAACATTTGGTTGGCCCCAACTCCTAAATTCATTCGGATTGCGATGTGAAACGTGAACCGCTGCGTTCCAGTGCTACGTTGTATTCTGGGGGACAGTTTATGTGCCTTGTCTTCTAAGTGAGATTCTATAATGTTGAGAGGTCGTACAACAGCTAGATTAGTGAAACATGAAGGCTCCAACAAGCAAATGCAGTCGGTCGCGTTGGCATCTGTCCTCCTCAGTGGGTACCTCAGAGTGGTACGGCCCAATCGATGTTTGTTTTGTCTCTAAATCATTACATCTCGTGATCCGTATCGGAAGTGTCTTCTTCGAAGCTGTTTGCAACACCTGCCAGCAAAGCCCAACACCTGAACCCCCGATCCACCACTCTTTACCAGTGTGTGCGCTGAACAGGCACAACCTATCGTCTTCGGTACATTGCCGTTCCCAGTTCTTATATACTTATCATCACAGTAACCGTGGTACCTCTGTGATTTATCGCACCACATCTACATTATTTTTCTTCGTAAGGCACTTGTTCGTCTTCCCCTAGCGCAACCCTGGTTTCCAGCTTATTGAGAATTTTTTGAGGCGTTGTACACGACATTCTCACACCGTGCGTAACTGGCGCAGTAAACACAGGCCGAGAGGAGTTAAATTCTGCTGTTTAGGGCGAAAGTGGTTGAGAACTGACTCGATTTCGGCCTTGTCGATGGTAAATGCGACGCCTAACGTGGGGTTCGTCATTCGAAAGAGACCGAGAAACTAGACTTCAAAAATGTGTGAGACACACTTACTTTCAGGACAAGGCCTCGAATGGTCATTTGTTTAGGTAAGTTGGAGATATCATTAAATCCAGTGGCGTCACTTATTTTAAACTCAAGCGGAACAAGTTTTGATCTTCCTTTTCTCTCAACCTGGTCTGGGGAAACGAGGCTGCTGTCGTTGCAAGCAAGACAGGGGAACTTTGTTTTCAAATGTCAGTCACTTGTTCTTACACTCTTATTATCATACTTCTGCAAATACTCCTGTTTCTTCACTTTGCACATTTAGGTTTATTCGTCTCCCTCATCTACTCACTTTTTTCGTATTAGCTTTCATCTGTCCGTCGACGATGTTTCCCGCTTTTATCTGGGCCGAGAACCCCCTCGTCAAATAACAGCCAACGCCGGTTGACAGTGCCCGACCCAACCAACCCACATACACATTTTAAATCGTGTAATGTTGTGGCGGACAGATATTCTTGAATCAGCCGTACGCAAGGGACTGAATGACGGTGATGGAATCTTAGGCGGTGTTCAGCACTGCAATCCACTCCCCTATTTCTTTTTGAACCCTAGATAGCTGAAAAATTTCACTATAGTGACTGAAAACTAGGTATTGAACCGCTTCGTCATGACCTCTCCTCATAACTGTACGTCATGATTCAACTGCTGGTATTGCCTTCGGTTGGAAAAAATTCCCGCAATTCAAATGAAATGAAGGCAGAACCGCGACTGGAATTAACTGACGTTGACTTGCGTAAAAGAGAAAAGATTGTAGGAGCAACCAACCACACCTGGTGACTCCATTCTTGGACGATAAGAAAGCGGGGTGAAAACGGGAAACTCGTTAACCACGACTAAAATGGCTGATTTTTACAGTGGCAAATTGATGGGTTTCCTCAAAATTGTGCTGTATTTTAAAAGGTCATGTAGTTCCGATATCGGGATTCAGGGCTGAAAAATTGGGGTTTTACCACACAGCAATTAGTGACATCTTTCACAGCGTAAAATCCATTGGTGGTTTAACTCTTCAGGATAGCAGCGTGTAGATCCTTTGAGTCGGTTTTTTTCTGAAGGATGGTGCCACAGGTATATGTGAACAAGCATCGTTCTCCTGATTCGCTTCCAAACCTGCAACTTACTCCGTGATTACATTGGAGGCATCATTACCCGGCCATGATTTGTTTGAATTCCCCGTTATCGAATTCCACACAACCACCAGTAATCTAGTCTGTAGATAACGCCTGTACTTTGTACGGCAATGTTCCTGTTCATGAACAGTCGCGTCAGACAGATCGAGATTTGTAAACTAATGCTTGTCACAGGAGTTGTTCACTCGATGACGTAAGAACGTGGCCTGGTCCAGGAGGATTACTGGTTCACACTTGGTCGGATCAATAATACTGATCAGGACACCAACTGATTCAGAGGCCGACTTTAAAACACCAAACTGCACAAAACCTTAGTGTGATAGAACACCACCAATGGAAGCAAACAGTGGCTTGCTTTAGCTCATGGAGCTTTCTGGAAGGTGGTCCCTTTATGTGATAACACGCAAAACGGGTCATACGAGTGAATGCTTACGGAGCCGCCTGGCACAGCCGTTGCAGGTCTGCGTACCATTCTTTGCCCCCCCCCTCACTACTTTGTCTGACTTATTATTGCACTTTGAAATCCCCATCATAGATCTACCTTGTTTATTTTCTCATTACAATAACTTTCTCAACTTCAGGGGTGTTTGAAGATTAACTCATCCACACTTCTATTACGGCCAGTTGTATCGTGATTCTGAAATCCCATCGTCTCCATCAACCTGGTCGACCGTCATCCTAACCCACTTTTTTCTTCCCCACGAATAGCTGATTGCAACACTATGTTGCGCCTTGCGCTTATCCAAATGCGAGTCGGAGCTGACAAGTTGGCTAATGTGAAACGGGCTTCGGATCTGATCTCGTCAGCTGTATCTGAGCATTCTGCTCGCCTGATCTGCTTGCCTGAGTGTTTTAATTCACCTTATGGGACGAGTTTCTTTGAGTCCTACGCAGAACCAGTACCCGACGGTCCAACTTGCAAGGCCGTATCTGAAATTGCCAGGTAAGACTAGGGCTAATGGACTCTGCCTATCAGGTTTGGTCGATTAGCACTTCTGGAAGCTTAACTCAAGAACCTCTAAAAAAGCAAAGCAAAGCAACGTTCGAGCATCGTTTTGAACAAGTGGGGTAACTGATAAACCACCTCGTTCTCAGTAATCCTTACTTCCGCTTCATATAACTTGTATTGTCCAGACCCTGGGGTATGCAGCATCACTGGATACGAGCCATTAGACTCTTTACGTACGCTCAACACATCATATCTAGCTTTTGCGTCGCTTCCAGATAGGACCTTGTAGCGATCAGGTTCGACTGATGCTTCCGTGTAATTTTTCTGTAGAAAAACGACGGCTTCCCTCTTAAACTTGATTAGTGTTGCTTCATTCGTATTGCTCAGTCAAATATGGCACAAGTTCTCATCCATTCAATAGCCTTCTTTATACTAATGTAACCTCTAAGGAGCTTGTCGGGTCTATACTCGTTTTAGTTCATGCTACAAGCCTTGGTGGCTATCGTTCAGCTGTAACACCCTTTCGGTGCCTAGCTGTCATGCAACCCAAAGGAAGCACAAGGGCTGAGATACTGTCAGGTTGCCAAAGCCTAGACAGGGGAAGTTGAAAGGCAGAGGTCTGATTCGAACCACGGATCTTCCGGTCAGTAAATTCACACTAACCACTTGAGCCATCTCGTCCCATTGGCTGCTATACAGGCACACTAATAATGAACGGTTTTGTCTTCGGATTCAAATGCGTGCAAACAACGCCAAGAACACTTTATAGAAATATTCGTCGAAAGCCGTCAGGGTCCATATCAAATCCAGTCAATAAGAGCCTGCTGACGTGGCGGTATAGTGTATCAGTGCTGCATGTGATATCATCCGCTGGGTGAGGGGACATAACCGTGAACATAAAGCCTGAACCAGTTTATTTGTATTTAGAGTGGATCATCAGTATCAGAGACCAGTAAATATCCACTCGATTCTGTAGTTTAAAAAATCCGATGCCTCCTAGATTGTCTCCGTGGTGGTGTTTTCTCATGGGAACGGTATTCTCAATCATTTCACATTTTTGCAAAACACTACCACTAGATAGCACATATTTGATCGCCAATTGTGAATGTTTCTGAACCCCACTAGGTCGAATTGTACTTATATCTGGAACTCACCTACTGTAGTTCGACGTCTGAGGTGTAAGTGGCTGGGCTTATGTGGTCTCCGTTCATTTTAAGATGTATTCTCATTGTCCTTCTTGTCCGTAGGGAACACCGCATTTGGCTGGTTGCTGGATCCATTCCTGAACGGGGCGACGATGGAAAATTGTACAACTGCAGTGTGACTTTCGATCCGAAGGGTACCCTGGTCGGGTTGTATAGAAAACTGCATCTGTTTGACATTGAAATACCAGGTTAGTGCCATTCTTGGTAGGACTGGTTTTGCTATGTCCTTCACGGGGCAACTAGCTAGGTAACCACTCTGCCAACCCTTGTTACTGAATTCCCGTTCACTCCAAAATCAGGCCAGTTCTCCTTCAAAGAATCCAGCAGTTTGTCATCGGGCAAAGAACCATTTTACTTCGAACTACCGTTGGACGATACGGACCGCCAGCCGAAAGTCATTCGTGTTGGAATCGGCATTTGTTACGATATTCGCTTTCCGGAACTATCTCTGCTATATGCGAACAGCCACGGGTGTCATGTGCTCCTCTTTCCGGGTGCATTTAATCCGAAAACTGGTAAGTACACCCTGTGGAATTAAAGCCCTCTTGTGAATGTCCACTTAGGAAAGTCACACACCGTGTACATCTTCTTGAACTATTGAGCTTTTGTTGATACTAGCTTCTAGCTCACCAACCTATTCCTTGGAGAACGTTTATTTCTTACAATATGTGGGGACTTGTAAAATATTGAATATGTCCCAGTTCACATTTCGGTCATAGATAAAGTCCTTGGACGGGAATCGGGCCCGCAACTTATCACCTACTGGATGAGCCTTCGCGGACACTACATGCGGTTTCCAGTTATGCCCGAACACTATGTATATTTAGAGCTCTTATCATTGAAACTGTTTCAGTAGACGAATCGGATGTACCTGTCATTTTGAAGATCATTTCCCTAGACCAATTGCCAGCTGTTACGTTCTACTGTGTTGTCGCACCACAAAGCAACGGTCAGCGAAACGATAAGTGGAAAAGGTGGCTCATTAATTCACTCGCAAAAACGTCGACTGGAAAGATGGGCCGAACACTTCGAAGAACAGTTCATCTGGCCTCCTGCAACACAGTCTGTGGAAATAATGCACACGGGCGAATGGAATGTAAACCTTGATCGCCCTTCGGAAGAAGAGGTATGGTACAAAATATCCGTGCTAAAACGTGAGAAGGCACCAGGACCGGACGGTCTGTATCCAGCCCTCTTCAAAGAAGGCGGAAAATTCCTAGTGTCCCATCTGACAAAACTTATTGGTACCATACGGGACGGAGAGATTGTGTCTGCAGAATGGGGCATGTCCACGATTATCCCTATCTTCAAAAGGAGTACGCGGACGCTATGTGAAAACCACCGTGGCATCAGCCTGTTAGCTGTGGCCTCGAAGGTGCTCTCTGACCTCATCCCTCGAAAGTTGACTGAACACACGGAGAGGCAGATCCGTGAAATCCAAACTGGGTTCCGTCCTGCAAGAGGTTGCATCGATCATATCTTCACCCTCCGACTAATTCCAGAACAGTGACACTGCTTCCGGCAGTGTCTGAAAGCTTCCTTTGATTCCGTGGACCGTCAGGCACTATGGTAGTGTATATCGAGCACAGGTGTCTCCCTCCTTAGGGCGCTGTGCGCCAACTTTCGCGGTTGTGCGAAGGTGTGCTGGAAGCAAATGGTCCTACCGGCAGAGGTTCACCGTATACAGATTCCCTACCACTCGTAAGTCAGCCTGGCGAATTCTGTCCACGGTGTCCTTCGCACATAGCCTGCATGTAAGAAGAATGGAAGTAATTTATCCCAGATAGTTTTAGTGTGCCTGCACAAAACCTCCGGTGGACACCACCAGTCGGTTGCACTGTAAAGTAGATGGATCAAACTGGAGGAATTGATGTTCGCCAAACCGACAGAATTCAAGTGCGTTCATCCGGCCTCCTCATCGTTGACAGAGGCGGTTACGTAGAACACGGGTGCTTTGCTCTCATTTATGTGCGTGAGTTTATTCGCCTTTATTGGTATGTTATCTGTGCAGAGGAGGTTATGCGCCTGTTAAAACCAGTTCAAAAATCATGGAGCATGAACTAGGGTACTTTGTTTTGGGTCCATCAGGCCTTTCGAAACGGTCAACAATGTGCTAACGCATTGTTCATTCTTTAATGTGAGTCCAGCGTACCTCCGACTTCGACTGGTAACAGTAGGATTCTGAACTTAGGTCCCGATTTGTGCAGGTAGTTTGACCAGGTTTTGGACGGTTTGGATCCAGTCAGTGCGTTGAGTCGCGTCCCCAACCCACAACGTTCAAGTTTCTGAAACATGCGACTTTTGTCGTGGGAGCAAACCGGTCTCTTCAGAGGTTAAAAATTCCATGAAAATCTGGTGGGAACACTTCCTGAGAAGTCGTCTTTTCTTGAGAACCTCTTGGCAGAAAAGTAACCGTAAGATATCACCATTCAGCATATCATCTGACACGGTTCAGTCCTCCTCGTGCTACTTGAAAACGGCTGCAATAAATCGGAGCTCCGACTGTTACAAATCCCTCTGCGTTGGCTCAAGTTACACGACATTACCAGTTGTATCTTCTAGGTTATCAGTGGATTATTCCACCTACTTCGAGACCCACTCCATTTCCATTTTATGATGTAAAGAGTTCATATCCTTCCTCCACTCAATCTCGAGTCCTTGTTGACGCCTTTTCTACTCAGGACCCGTACACTGGGAACTTTTGGGCAAAGCTCGCGCCTTGGATACACAGTGCTACGTTGGAATGTGTAGTCCAGCTTGTGACTTGGAGTCCGATTATGTCAGCCACGCGGAATCATTGATTACCTCACCATGGGGTGTCGTGGTTGCCAAAGCTGGAAAAGATGTGAGTTGTCACAGTTTGTGTGATTGTTCACCAAGCAACTTTGACTCGCCTTTTTTGAAGTTCACTGGGTACTTTGTAAGTAGAGGACTTTCGGATTACTGAGTCCACGTTTCATCTTACAGTCGTGGATCGCTGTAGAGCTGTTTCACGAGACAGTCAAACCCATAACCTTCCAGGTGGGAGGTTGAATGCAATGTAGCTTAGAATGTAATCACCAGTAAGTGTGTAAAAAAGTTATTTAAATTTATTCATTGTGATGCTAAGATAATGTAATATGGGACTGAGCGTAAATCCGTTCCAGCTACGTGCAGAATTGAGTGCCATCTGATTTCGTAAAAACGCACTTAGTTCCAGGATCGGACGTCACTTCGTCAAGTATTCCATTCACCATACCATGTCAGAATAACTTTTCTGGAGGTGAGCGTTCACAACCCTGCTCAGACTCGCTCCAGTTGTCCTGGAGACCTGTTCACCTGAGGCAAGACATTTAGGTTTTAAAAGAAACTGGTTCTGAAAACCAGTTCACAGGACGGCAGTTTCGACAGACTTCCGCCTTTTCGTATTTTGTTTCATCTCATTCCTCTTTTACTTTTGCAGGAACAGATTATCTCGGCCAATATCGACTTGAACGAGCTCAAACGGGTTCGTGAAGCCATCCCTATCGGTCGGCAGCGACGGTTAGACGTGTACACAATGCCGAAACCGGTAGTTCGCCAGACCAAAAACTGATTCGTTGCTTTCTAGTCACCAGTGATCTCTAACCTACGTGACAACCACTGTGGCGTGATTCATTTTTGTATAAACATTCGTGCCTGCTCACTGACAGCGCTTCCTTCCATTTTTCAAATCGATCTTTCTTTTTCTATGGATCTCGTGTCTTTTCCATGTTACAATGGGAATCGTTCGGAGGCCTGGTCGGTTTGACGATCTTTTTCGCACTGTCTCATGGATTTATACACATTTAAGTAGTTAAATTGTTCACCAGCTCCCTTTCGCTAACCACCCATAGCCGGAGACGGCATGAGATGCTTACTGGGTATCTAACCGTGAGTGACCTGGCACCACCGCACAATTCGGTGCGCTATCAGGTCATCTTCGTCTCTACCCCAACGAGTCGGGTGTTTTTGATACTTTATCAGATCGTCACAGCTAAGTACTCTAAACAATTAGCCCCTCTTGGGACCCACCGGAAAATGGTCCTTTTTTGACAAATGCATCCATTAAAGGAATCTTCATGGGGTCAATGAAATATTTCTTCCGAATGTGGTCATTCCATAAAGGAACAAATGTAAAACAAAGTCAAAATTAAATTCTCCCATTGAATTTAAGCACCAAGATCTTAGTGGTTGATCAAAACATACCTGGGTAAGTTTAGGATTCGAAGGCTGCGTTTCTGGGTTGATCTTATGCAATTGCTTAGGCGAATCTGTTGGCTGTGCTTAACCGGTTCATCTGAGCCACCAATGACCACTGTGTTGTGGACCATGAACGAAACCGTGGATTTAAGTCCTGGGGGATTTGATGCCGCGACCTTATTTGCCGGGCGAGGGCTCTATCGGCTTAATCAACTCTGGTCGCCACATGAACCTATTCACTCCAGCCTGACTTTCCACTGGATCAACAGTCGAAAGTTGTCCGTAATCCTGGCCAGCTCCTTATGATTTCCACGATAAGGAGGACGTCCCAGTCATCAAGCCACCGAGGTTATATTGATCCGATCCGGCACAGGAATCCAAGTATACAATCCTAACGCCGAACCCGGGAACTGAGGCGAGGTGGTCATCGAATCGCTTGGGTAGATTCATACATTTTCGAAAAAGTTTGGTGACAATCGGTAGATTTATTGCTGAGCAACGTTTCGCTTTTGACACAAAAGCTTCGTCAGGCCAAGTGACTAGGTTCCGAGGTTGATCGAGATTTAAGGCGGAAGGAGAACCAATCAGCTAAGTCAAGCTAAATCTCTGTTGGGTGTCGGCCGAGG